TATGAACAGTTCCAAATTAGTTAAAATAATTAAAATAGTTATGAATAGTTATGATGACAATTCCTACATTTATATATTTTTTTCGCAATAATTTAACAACACACGTAAAGGAGTTAAGGTACCCAAAAGGAAAAAAAACCCTCTTACATAGGGTAATCATAATTTAGCTATCACTTTTTTTAATTTTTGACCTTTTTTAATTTTGTTATCAGATACCTATTATCTAATTTCTAATGCTTAACTATTTTCAAACTAAAGTGACATTTGAATCGAAAAACTATCAATTTTAATCATAAATTTACTAGTTCTTCTATATAACATATACTTTAATCACTTTATAGCTATAACTACCACATAGAGATAAGAAGGATATTAAATACTAGGTTTAGTTTACGGATATCGTTTGATAAAATTTTCATAGGTCTTTTTTTTTCTTTTACTGCAGTATATTTTTTTGCTGCTCTTTTGACATTAAACTCTAGAATCATTTCATCCAATCAAAACACTTATAAAGAATCGAAAATTCATTACGTAATCTACAGTTTTAACGAGCACATGAAATTTTTTAACGTAATTTTCCAAGTTTTAAATTTATTTATTTCCACATTTATTTTCTCAATGATTTCAAATAAAAATGTATACATTTGTACACTAACTAATCAGAAATATTACTAAAGTTCTATTTTATTAAATAGGTTTAAATGAAATTATAAAAAATTTTAAAGTAGAGATCAATTGATCTTATAAATTTAAATAATGTAATGTACGTAAAGCTGAAAATTTCTCATTTCAATACGTTTTTTCTTCCGTATAACAATACTTTTTGAAGTGATGACTGTAAAATGTCTTACAAAATTAGATTTTAGTGATCTAGACACTTAAGATTTCTTAAATGTTCAAAAATAATCACTTTAGTGCTGTAAAAAACTTATCCAAAGAAATTTATATCTTCCCCTCTGCTCAAATTTCAAATTTTTCGTTTGAAGATAAAAAAAAAATAGCTATAACCTACATTTCTCATAACTTTTTTTGGAGGACAGATTAACGTTTGGAGACAAAATTCGAACTGTTGGTTGCTAATTTGGTAGGATGCTGGGAATGGATATAATTTCAGTATTTGGCGCAAAGGGTCACTAACTGATTCGTCGATTGTGTTAAGTCGCAAGTTGAGAGTCATGAGATCCTAAAAAGAAATAAAATGAGAAGGTTATCCATAGTATAAAATTGTGGAAGTCTGGAGAGATGACGTCATGGAAGTGGTGGAAATCCTCGCCTGTTCTGAGGTAGCCGGGTCTGTTCTTGGATTAGGACATAGGAACGACAGGTAAGCTCTGGCACATTTCATGCAGGTGGGATTGGGCGAAGAACAGCTTTGCTGAGTTTGTCCAAATTTTTGACACCGGCAGCACTAGATTTGATGTTGTCCCCCTCGGAAACGCTCAATCTGAACTGTTCTCTAAAGAATTGAACTGATATTATAGATGTTTTTACATTTGCTGGTATCCGATTGGATGATAAGAAACAGTGGGAAAGGCCTAAGCTCATTCCCACTTCTTCTCTTGAGTTGAACAATTTTTTCTGGGAAAACTCCGAAATCTTTAACCCTTTCGTAGGCCGTTCCCACCACTTTTTCCCACTTTTAATTTAGGTTTCCATTTGTTAATAACTTCAGATTTCTTGAAGTGCGTTTGAAAAAAATTGGTAGCCGTTTGTTAGTTTACGAAAAAGTATAAAAGTTATAAAATACATAATTCCTTTTGAAGTTTGTAGCATTTGAAAAATTTATTTTATATTTAACGAAAAAAAAATTAAAGTCAATAAGTTACTAATAGGTCGTGTTAAATATATTTACCTCCAAAAAATGGCATTTTTATAAACTAAATGAATTTTTTTTTTCATCAATTACTATTCTTAAAACGATTTCAATTCCAAAAATATTTTAATTTACCTTTACTAGAAATAAATGGCCCTTTAAAGGGTTACGATATTTCTCTAATGTCTTCTTCTATTTGTAGTCCTCTGGTGAGGGTCTTCAGCTTTTTGTTCGGTGAAGAGTCCGTAGATGTGGTGGTGGGAAATGTGGGCTCCGCCGTCTCTGGTGCTTTTATTGTTCCCTCTAACTCTGCCGGGACTGGTGTAATGGAGCTGAGACTGGTTCTGGCCAAATAGAATCGCCGTCTGTGTCTCAGTCAACTTTCATCGCTATGTTGACGCAATTTTGTTCTTCTTTTTCTTCCTCCTTTTCTGGGTAGACCAGAGTATCAGTTACTTCCATATCTGCAGGAATCTGGCGTTGTTCTACTGTCACAAGACTGGGTGTTGAGTGGTTGCTAACTTTACGACTATTCCAAAATTTGATTTTCACATTGCTTTTTTTTTGTAACGTAAGAAAAAGTGTTTTTAATTAACGAAAATGTTTATTTTACTCGCATAAGCTAACGACTTTTGACAATGGGCAAATGTTAGGCGAATAAATTCAAACTTTTGGTTTCAAGTTAAAAATCAGCTGATTTTTAACTTTGAATCAGGCAAATTTTTAACTTGTGTTTGCCAACTTAACATTTTTTTTAAGAAAAAATTACTGTGGCCATAACTGTTTATTGGATGGCTAACGAGGGCTAAATATTTCTCAGAATGTTTCAATAATTGAAGGCAAAATTCATGTTTGCGTTTTTTAGGTCAAAAAATGGCTGAAATTTGTTTCGGCCGTAATCTCTTTTTCAGTACAAGGGCTAACAAAAATGTTTCGTACCCTAACGTATGTTAATGATTTCAAAAAATTAGCAGACATTTGAAGACACAAATATTATCTTGTGTTTGCCGAATTCAAACACTTATTAAAAAGAATTCTGGGGATAGAGCGTTCAATGAAATGAACCGAGTTCAATTCCCTGTGATGATTCGTAGATACGAATCCGCATCAGGCTTGCACCAACCACAGTGCTGACAGTATACTCAGTGGTACACGGATCATGGGTTAGAGTCCCTTTGCCATCAGGCCAACCATGGGAGGTTCTTGTGGTCTTCATCCCCATGTTACGCAAATGTGGGCTAGTTCTAGACGAAGGCAAATTGCTCCCAAGACTTAATGCAGGAGTTATCTTGTCTTCTGGATTGAGTTCAAAATTAAAAGCTTATGGATTTGAACATTAGTAGAGGTATGCCCAAAAACGTGTGACAGAAAAAGAAGGCAGGTTTGAATTAAAGACATGTTAAAAAGAAAACTGAAATCAATATCGCTTTAATTAAAAAAGTCAATTATTGATAACTGGGTAATTCTTTGGAAACGTGACAATTCGGACCAAAAATTTTTTCAAATTTAACGACTTCAAAATAATCTAACTTTTTTTTCTATACTTCCTTAGTTACATTTTTTAATATCTTACAAACAGCAGTGTAGTTTATAGACATTTGCTCGAAAGAAAAATTAAAATAGAAATTCACAAATTTTGAATGGCAGGAAAATGACTATTAGCTTAGAAGTTTAAAAAACAGTCATTTTATGTTAATAGTAAGTAACTGAACTTAAGCCTTTATATTAAAAATAGAATGGAAAACTAAATTATTGATCAGTGGATCAGCCATCTGTCTCCTTTAACCCCTTGGGGACGGGTGATTCAGAAAAACATTCGTACAAAATCAGAGTCAAGTTGTAATTAAATAAAATACGGTGACTTAAATGTAGTCGTTGCTAATTTGACGGACTTACTTTGCTTTTACTTTAATTATTGTTAGTTTAATCATATATATAATCAATGTTAATTCAAAGTATAACTAAATAGTTTTATTTTGAACAAAGTAATGGTGAATTAAATAAATCAAAAAATTATTACTCCTCCCACAAATAAACTGCTAAAGAAATACTTTGATTACCAGCTTTATCTTTTTACCCTGATTGATCAACACCTCCTAGAAAGAACAGGCCTCAGCACGGGTTACCATAAATATCCCTTAGTAGTCCAAACGTAATGACATATTTTGTATTTTCACCCACTGCGCAGCTCAGTACCCCTAACGTAATGACATCTTTCTTATTTTTCGTCTACTGCGCAGTTAACTTCGTCGCATCGGACTAATAATTTGATCCGTGCTGAGGCCTTTCTACTTCTAGGAGGTGTTGGATTGATACGGTTTTATGCTGGCACGTATTTGTGACAGTCGGCGCGAAAGGGTTAAGAACAACATAATTATAAAATAATATTTCATGATCTTATAAAATGCAAAAAATACAAAAAGTTGAAAGGGAAAGACATAATTCAATAATAACCATTTTCTTGTTTGCCTTCTCTCCATATAAATCCCGCATTACATAAATATTTATAAAAAAAAAATTCAATAAAGCAAATTTAGTTTCTACAATTAGCCTTTTTTCATTAAATCAGTTACTAACTAAAAAGTAATTGAAATCTTTTCCCCCCTCTGTTGTATACAACAAGAATGTTTTTTTCTAGGGAGGGGGGGGGATGAATAGCTTGAGAATCATTCAAATGGTCTTGATAAAAAATACATAATAGAATTCGAGGCATCACAATCAACAAAAAATTTCAAAAAATTGTAAAAATTGTCAGTAAAATAAATTTATTTTTCAAGGTATAGCTGTAAATCGTCAACTTACACTAGACAGTAACGCTTAATGAGCTTGGCTGCAGTTGTAACAAGTTGCAGGAGTATCTTTGGATTTCTTGCACTGGAAGGACCCTTGGGCACACTTCATGCATTTTGGTTGGCCAGTATAGGAATTCTGGGTGAGTTCAAAAGCTTGGCAGTGATAGCACTGTATCGGCCGTCGGCCGCCGTGGAATCGCTCGATGCTGACCGGGAAACCTCTGATCTTCTCGGTGTGGAATATCTTCATCTGATTGGTCAGCTGCGGGACGATGACGAGGAAAAGTGGGAGGAGCCTATAGGCCCCGCCCACCCGTTTCTTGAACTGGATGATTTTATGCACTTCGATATTCAACTTCCCTAATTGAAGGGAAATTAAATCAGGATTAAAGTCCTTAGGGAGTCCGCGGAAAAGCACTTTCAAAAACTTCATTGATTTCTTTATGGTTATCAATTGGAGAGGCTTGGGTGTCGGCTTCTTCGGCGATCTCCATTGGGACTGGTGGGGGTGACTCAGGCGTCGGAAGAGCACTGGAAGGTGGCGGGCTGGCTACGGGCTTGGGTGGGGAAGAGGCTTTTGTTTCCACGGCTGACTTTTTCTTCTTCCGTCTCTTCTTTGTCGGGGGCTCTTTGCACGGTATTTCGGTGAACACTGGTTCGGACGCCGAGGCTTCCTCTTCAGGTTCGGTGGTCTCGGGTAGAATGCTGGGCTCGGGAACGGGCACAGGCTCTGTTGGTTTCTCTATTTCCAAATCAGACTTTGGAGTAGGAGCTGGATCATTCTTGGAGAGCAGGTCCAGGAAAAAGTTGGTGTTGAAACTGCTAAGTCTATTCGAAAGGTTTTCGAACACTTCAGAGGCATTCGAAATCGCAATATCAAAATCAGAGGAGGCATCCCCAGTCGAATCGGGTTGCCGGCAGGAAGGTAAAACCTTACCGCCGCAGGCAGTTCGAATAATAATCGGCATGACTGTATCGGAGCTTCAGTCGGCTATCCTCACCCCACCACACTTAACCCTTTCGCGCCGACAGTCACCACAAACACAAATATGTGCCAGCATAAAACCGTATCAATCAGTTTAAAAAGATAAAACTGGTAATCAAAGTAATTCTTTAGCAGTTTATTTGTGGGCGGAGCACGGGCAGATATAGCTCCCCCCACTATCCTAGAACCATCTCCATGTTTCACGACTGGAACCAGGCAGTCAACATGAAATGTTCCGCCGGCTTTCGCCACACGAACACACTGGAATAGTGTATTCAGACCATTCATCAGACCAGATGACTTGTTCCAAGGTGGTTTTGGACTAGGTACTCTGCGATGAGTGTTAGCAGCATGTAACTCCCATTGAATAGTTGTCATGGATACGGAGTTCTGAAGGTGTTCGCCGTTCTGGACATGGACACTCCAGCTAGGAGAGCTCCGATTATCATGCCTCTTTTAAGGTCAGAGATTTCGGACGTAATCTCGCTTTGCATGGAACAGATTATTTTCATGCAACACTCACACTGTCAAATGCTAGACTGATACCTTACCTTTCATCATCACTAGGTGGCACACTCTTGCGACACGTGCCCGCCTTTTATTGGTTATTGGACGATCGAAGGACTTATTGGACTCCATATATATATATATATAT